ATACACCCAGAACTACAATGGAAGGGTTTAGATCAAAGCATATTCATGTGTTAGAATTGTCCATTCAAAGTCTAGACCTAAATCCAATTGAGAATCTGTGGCAAGACTTGAAAATTGCTGTTCACAGACGCTCTCCATCCAATCTGACTGAGCTTCAGCTATTTTGCAAAGAAGAACGGGCAAAAATTTCTCTCTCTAGATGTGCAAAGCTGGTCAAGACATACCCCAGAATACTTGCAGCTGTAACTGCAGCGAAAGGTGGTTCTACAAAGTATTTACTAAGGAGGGCTGAATACAAACACACGCCACACTTTTCAGACATTTGTTTGTAAAGATAAATTGAACATTTATAATTTTCCTTCCAATTCACAATTATGTGCCACTTTGTGTTGGTCTATCACATAAAATCCCAATAAAATAATTTTTTGTTTGTAGTTGTAACATGACAAAATGTGGAAAAGTTCAGTGAGTATGAATACTTTTGCAAGGCACTGTACCTCCTCTTATGGGCACAGTGCAACCTGCGCTCATTGAAGGCAGTGCACATGCCAGGCAGATTGAACCAGGGAGTGGATATGCTATCCCGGGGCAATGTGTCTTCAGAGGAATGGAGACTCAACCACCAGATAGTTCAGATGATTTAGGAGGTCTTTAGGAAGGCAGAGGTTGACCTATTTGCCTCAGTATACAACTCTCTTTGCCCAACATTTTTTTGAAGGAACAAGACGCACTGCCTCACAAATGGCCCAATGCATGCCTGTAAGGCAAGGCAAGTTTATTTATATAGCACATTTCATACACAATGATCTTGGTTCCCTGAGTTGGTACAGCTGCTATTGGCAGCCCCTTGGCTGATTCCGCTGAAGAAGGACCTTCTCTCTCAGGTGAGTGGGACAATTTGGAACCCCCAACCAGAGTTGTGGAGCCTACATCTGTGGCCAACGAGGGTCGCCAACACTATCTCAGAGACCAGAGACCCATCTACTAGATGCTTCTATGCCCTCAATGGTCTGAATTCTCTGACTGGTGTGCAGTCCGGGATGAAGACCTATCGTCTTGCGACATGTCATCCATCTTGTCCTTACAGGAGCTGCTGGATAAGGGGCGCACTCTTTCTTTGCTCAAAGTATACGTGGGGGCCATAGTAGAGAATCCATGCTCTCATGGCCGGCCAGTCTATAAAAAAACACAACTTAGTCGTGAAGTTTCTGCGGGGAGCTAGGAGACTGAATCTGCCTCTCCCTTATACAGTTCTGACCTGGGATCTATTCACGGTCCTCAGGGCCCTTCGAGGCCCTTTGTTCGAGCCACTTCAGTCGGCCAACTTGCGGCCCCTATAGCTTAAGACAGCCCACCTGCTGGCTTTAGCATCAGTCAAGCGAGTGGGTGACCTGCAGACGCCCTCTCCGGTGCTTCCTGCCTTCATTACCCTATTAGCTCTTCCCGCCTCGGAGGATGAACGGGCTGCTAATTTACTCTCCCCAGTCCAGGCCCTTAGGATATCTACAGAGCAGTATCGCCAATCAGAGCAGCTTTTTGTGTGCTTCTGAGGCTGATCTAAAGGGCTGCCAGTTATGAAGCAGAGATTAGTTTCCCTTTCAGATGCAAAATTGATGGTAGGAAAGAATTTACAGTGATGGGCAGAAGCGTAACTACATGTAGTGACGCTACTAGCTTAACTACATTTCTCAGTAGCGTGGTGGTAGCATCAAAAAAAGCTACATTTTTCAAAGCATTTGAAAGCTCAAGCTCAAATCGTAAATATAACAGCTAAGGATCACTGATCCTGGACCAGTAAAAGTGATGCCACCACCACTAAACCTCGTAACTCCATTGGTTGTTCAAACTGTCAGTCAAACCTCATTATTCCTCCCGCCTCTCTTGTGAATGAAGTGTGGTGCGCAGTTTGGAGCATTTCAGATTGTTTGCAGTCTGACGGTAAATAAAGAACTGTTGATTGAATAAGTACAGCTTTTTCTTTGCTGAAGAAACACTATATTTATAAAGGCTAATGTTTTTCTTTATTTGAGGAGCAACTTTTGATTTTAATAATGCATTAGTATATATTGAAGTTAACATGAATAAATGCTGCAGAAGTATTGTTCATTCTTAGTTCATGTTAACTACACTAGTTAACGTCTCGGTTACATATGGTAACCCTCGTTCCCTCAAGGAGGGAATGGAGACGTCACGTCGGATGACCGACGAATTGGGATCTCGCTTAGAGAGACCAATCTACTTCTAGTGTAAACTAAACGAGCCAATGCGCATTGGCATGCGATTATTGCATCCAGCTGCCGCCGATCACAGCATGAGTATAAGTAGGCAGCAGATGCAGCGCATATTCAGGTTTTCGCTGAGGAGCCGAGCCGGTGACCCGAAGCCGGGGCATCTCAGTGCTTCTACCCGTTTGAGGTGAGAACACAGGAGGATACCGGCTCCACACGAAGGCTATAGAATCTAGCGGACGTGTTAGGGGTCTCCCCGCCCGCAGCTCTACAGATATCTGCCAGCGAGGCGCTACGAGCCAGCACCCAGGAGGATGCAACACTCTAGTTGAATGAGCTCGCAACCTGAACGGGCAGGGCACACCCTGTGCCTGATACGGCAGGGTGATGGCGTCCATTATCCAGTGGGCCATCCTCTGCTTAGAGACGGCATTCCCCTTCTGCCGGCCTCCGTGACAGACAAAGAGCTGGTCTGAGGTCCTGAAGCTTTGTCTCAGGGCTACCTGGGAGTCAGCCGGCCCGAACTCTAGGCACGAATCATTGACCAAAAATGCGTGCAGGTCCCTTACCCTCTTGATGGTGGCCAATGCCAGCAGGAGCAGAGTCTTTATCGAAAGAAATTTCAGCTCGACCGTCTGCAAAGGCTCAACTGGGCCCTGCTGTAGTGCTGTGAGCA